GGGCATCTTCCCAACCCAGGGACTGGACGTGGGTCTCCTACATTGCAGGCAGATTCTTTACTGTCTGAGACACAAGGGAAGCTTCTGTTAGATAATTTCCCAAGCCTTAGGAATGGACAGTTGTTTTATTCATAAATACTGGCTATTCCCCTCATACACAAAAGACAGGAAATGGGAGATCCAGGCATCCACTGAAAAAGGACTCTGTCCTCCTTGAGGATGAAGCTCTTCCCTTGTCTGCCCTCACTGGAGCCTGGCAGAGGTTTTCAAGGAGCTCTCTTGAGGTAAAAATGCCTCAATAGATCCACAGGCTATACTGGCCGCCTTAACTTTGAGATTCCCTACCTGGAAGTTTCCATGGACACTGGCATGCTGAGAGGGTACTGTGTTGTGGGAGTGAGGACAGATTACAGCATTGAAAAAGTTCCCCTGGAACCTTTTTTTTTTTTTCCTTGGGATGGACTGCTTTAAAGTTATTTGCAGGAGATTTGGCTAATAGAGCGAGTATTTCTGGAAGCTTCAATCAGGGTAGACTCAGATGTGTTGCTTTTGTGCAGCTTCCTGTTCCTGACCCTGTTTCATCTTTCTCAGTTCATCTCAGCAACACTTTTCTGGAACAAATCCATCATGCTTTCTAGCTAGTATGCTTATTGTTTTTATAATCTTCCTATAATAAAAAGTAAATAAAACCTTGGTTTTCTACAGGCAAGCCAATGAGGAGTTAATGATTTCCAGCTCATGTCAAGCCCATCGAATGGTAGTGTTTTCAAGTACAAGCTCTTAATTCAGGATTTTCTGTATTATGTATATGTAAAGTGACAGTCTGCATGCCTCTTGGGTGTGGTCTGGCTTAGAAATATTAACTATAATAGCATATAGAAAGTACCACGGGATGAGACTTAACTCTTCAAATGTACGTCCTTCATCCCAAGATTCACTTTGGGGAAATAACATCCTAGTGGGGATAATAACAGAAGCAACCTGTTAACAGCAGAAATATCTCATTAAGAAGAAATAAATATGAAGAACTTGAAGCAGGCGGAAGGGGATCCTTAGAGGCAACATGTTACAGCAGAAGGTACACCAGTCTAGACCAGAGGAAAGTTGGTTTCTAAACTATACTTTGTAACTGTACCTCTCTGGGGCTTTTTTTCCCCCTCACCAGAGAGTTGGACTCAGCTCTAGTAAGAACAATCAGATGTTCACTAGTTAGTTCTGGCCATTCACAAATGAGCTGCTTATTCTATACAATGCTGTGTTTAAGTAATTTTAGAAAATGCTATATTTTTCACCAAATACACCTATAAGAAAGATATATCAACTTGCTTATAACCTAGGTCTTTAAAGTTTTAACAACTTAGGTACTAATCAGTTGACCAAAGAGAGCAAACTCTTTTCCTGGTTTCATTTGTGTAGGGGACCCAGGTCACTCAGATACAGTTTTCCTGGAGAGCACCTCCAGTGCCTCAGGGAGCACTTCAGGGAGGATGGGGCGGTTTTTGTTTTAACCAGAGTGGTTTTACTTTGGGCTCTATTATACTTCGGGTTTCTACATTAAGGCTTTGTTTGGGGCAAGGGAAGTTCTGTGGCTTTAAAAAGGTGTGACAATTACTAGCAGATTCTATAAAAAGGAAACTTCTACATCACCAGTCTTATCAGTCTGTGATACATCCAGCCTTCTCTCTTCTTTGATTATGAAGAGCTTTCTCTTTTGACATAACTTGCGTGTAGTATGGTCAAGAGTATGGGACTATGACTGTCATCGTTGGGAAGCTGTAGGTTAGAGGCTACCTAAATTCTAGGAAACCTACTCAGAAATGATGTCAGTGGCTCCCAGCTATCAGTGCTGATGTGAAGGGCTGGCTGCTTCTGGAGAACTGTGAAGTTTATAGCAGGGTGAAGTTTTGATGAAGGGTTGAAATGAAACCTGAAAGGAAGTTTTGAAAGTTTTGTTTCATTTCTGCCATTGGTAGCTGTCCTTTCTCCAGAGTGCTCAACCTATTAACCTTCCGGTGGCCTAATCCCCCGGGGAGCCTCTCCTTTGGGCTCTGGATTTAAATGAATGCCATGACCCAGTTTGTTCTTGCCATTTTGAACTAGCCTGGAGAATACCTCTTGTTGATTAGTAGAGAATCGGAGTGAGAAGAAGGCAGAAAGCTTTTATAAAGTATTCTACCTTCAAATCTGTGGCCTAATCTGTATAAAAATAAATTGCATAAAATAAAGGTTGAAAAACCTATGTAAAGTAAAGGAAAATAGATAATTTATGTTTTAAAAACCATGATTTATTCACCTACTGCAATGTAGTCCCCACCTTTCCTGAATGTGATGTCAGCTTCTTAACTTCAAATCACATGTGTATGTGATGTCTAGTGAAGTCGGTTACAAGTCAGTTTTTATTATGCTGTCCATTTTTAGTCACTTGGAAGAGCTTTTCTTAGGAATTCAAAAAGTTTATGCCTTAGTTAAAGATTTAGTCTCTAAAGAGAGGTCTTATAAGACTAAATTTATTTCAAGGGTAGAGATCCAGATTCACTGATAAATGATTACCATAAAGCATAACACCCTTGAAATATATACACTAAAAATAAAAAGGAATTATATAAATAAACACAAATCACAGTTCTCAATCTGATAAAGAACTTGGAGGGACATTAATAACATTTAACACTCCCCCTCCCCTTTTCTTTAGCACTGGGGAGAGTACCTGCAGAGTATATGAATTCATGAGGGCTTATGTCACTTTGTCACTTGCCTTTTGAATGGATAGTGTCCTGCAGGCCTTATTTTGCACTGACGCTTTTATGGCAGTGTTACAAAAGCTGCTTAAAGTATCAAGCCTATTTCAGTTTTTAAGAGGCTAATAGAAAATGGCCTCATCTTCCTCTCTCCTTTAGTCTTTTTCTTTTCAGTCTCCTTTTTAGGTTTTCCCAGTTTGACTTCCCTTCTGACAGACTGTTACAGTGAACAGAGCCCCAGACTGGGAGCGAGAAGACTGGAGAGCTCAGGGTCTCCTCCAGGATTATAGCTGGGTCTGTTTCCTTATCTGTGAGACGGGAGTTCACTTAGATGACAGCTACTTTCTCTTTCAGCTCTAAAATTCTCTACTGGCTTTTGTCCTTTTGTCTACTGTTCTGCCTCTTCCCTGTTTCCTACCTCAGCTACTCAATATGCAGAGTTGTTTAACAATACTCATAAAATAAACATGGTTATGGGGAAACATCAATACGTGAAGTTGCTGGCAAGATACGGCATTTGGAAATTCAGATTTGGTAGTTTCTCATTTTGTTTGCCTTATGCCCTAGCCAAATGCAGCGGAGTCATATTTTATTTATTCTACACAGTTGTTGTTGCAAAATAAAACAATAATATATTTCACTCATCAGAGAGTAAAAATTTAAAGACTTGATATTATCCACTCTTGGGGGAAGTGTAGGAAAATGCATACGTCACACATTGCGGGAATGTAATTGGTGCATTTTTTTTGGAGGACAGTTTGGCAGTATCAGTCAGTAGTTTCAGAATATATATAAAAATTGGTTCAGTGATGTCAAAGGTTTCTAGAGAAATTCATATGCAAATATTAAGAGGTATGGCCATTGATGTTCATTGCTGTCCTGTTCATAAAAGCAAAAGTTTGGACATATCTTGTATTTCTATTAAGAAGGGAAATATTTAATGGATATATTTATTCTTTTATCTCTGTCTCTATAAATGTCCATATCTGTATATACCCGTATCATACAGGCATTAAAAATAATACAATGAATGAAGTTGCTCTGTATATACTAACCTTTCAAGTAGGAAATCAAGATGCAGAACCACACGTTCACCATGATCCATTTACATAAAAACAACGTAATTGTCTGTATGTGTACAGCATACTTTGTTTTACTGTGGTTCACTTCATTGTGCTTTGCAGATACCGTGTCTTACAAACTGAAGGTTTGTAGCAGCCCTACATTGAGCAATACTCTTTTCCCAGCATCGTATGCTCACTTTCTTTCCCTGTGTCACATTGTGGTAATTCTTTTAGCATTTCAAACTTTTTCATTATTATTGTGTCTGTTGTATTGTTGATCTTTGATCAGTGATCTTGATGTTACCATTATAAAAAGTTTATGACTTGCTGAAGGCTCAAATGATGGTTAGCATTTTTTAGCAATGAATTATTTTTAAATTGGAGTATGTATATTGTTTTTGTAAACATAATGCTCTTTCATACTTAATAGACTACAGTGTAGTATATATTTATACTTCTATATACTTTTATATAATTTTTATATGTACTGGGAAACCAAAAAATTTGTGTGACCCTTTATTGTAATATTCACTTTACTGTGTTGGTCTAGAGCAGAACCTGTGTGTCTCCAAGGTATGCCTGTGCATATATATATGTACACACACACACACATAATGACCAGAAAGGCATGGATCAGACTGTTAACAGTAACTACCCACTGAGGAGGAAAATGGTACTGGGAAAGAGAGAGAAGAAGAATTTCTCTCTCTTTTTTTTAATATACGCAAAGAATCTGTCCGCAGCATAGGAGAGATGGGTTCAAGCCGTGGGTGGGGAAGACCCCCTGGAGAAGGCGATGGCACCCCACTCCAGTAGTCTTGCTGGAAAATCCCGTGGACGGGGAACTCTGAATGGCTGCAGCCCACGGAGTCACAAAGAGTCAGACATGACTGAGCAACTAAACAGCAGTATCTATTAAATTTTTAAAAAGTGATTATGTATTACTGGTATGAAAACAAAAAAATAAAAAGGAAGGATAAGGAATCACTTCCTAAAGAATGAAAAAAAGCAAAAAGAGTGGCAGGAAATTCATTAGAGTATCCGAGAAACATTGTTCAGAGGATAGTCCCAAAACTTCAGGATAGGATAGGACCCACGGTTTGTGTTTTGGCCAGGGCTACCTTGCATTTAGAATAATAGCCCTACTCTCCCATTTCTTTGCGTGTCCAACGTATTCTTACTCGTCTCTGTTCTGCAGGTAACTCGGGACCAGATGAAGGTGTTTATACAGCAAGAATTTAAGAAAGTTCAAAAAGTGATTGCGGATGAGGAGCAGAAGGCCCTTCATCTAGTGGACATCCAGGAAGCAATGGCCACAGCTCATGTGACTGAGATACTGGCTGACATCCAGTCCCATATGGATAGATTGATGACTCAGATGGCCCAAGCCAAGGAACAACTTGATACCTCTAATGAATCAGCTGAGCCAAAGGCGGAGGTAAAGGAGAATGCCTGTAATAAACCAGCAGCATGAAAAATAGGCAGAAGCTGACTGCCATGTTTGTTAATTCTGGAAATTCCCCCATTTTGGTCCCTAAACATGAATGGATTGAAAGCTTTAATATGACGTAAGTGTTTAGACTGGTGTGTAAACCAGTTTGGAAATATTGGCTGCTCGGGCCTGTACTCAGAAACTAGGCCTAGTAAAATATGTGTACACTGTGACTTAAAGGAGTGTAGTCAATGGGGCAGATACTGTTCCCAGTTAATGAGGGAAGCCAGAAATCAGAGCCAGAGAAGAGGACAACTGACAGATTCCCAGTTATTAAATGAGCCTATAGGTAAAGTCACCGTAGGGATGAGAACTAGGCTGAATGAGAATGTCAGGAAGTGAGTATAAAGCAGGCCAAAATAAAAGATTGGACTCATTTTGTGAATAGTGAAAAGGTGCCTCAGGCTGGTCTTTTTATGAAGCTAATGCATAAATTGGGGGCATGACTAATGGATTGAGGGGCATAGGGGCTCAGGCATTGTGAGGATCAGAAATATCAGTGAAAGACTCAAGGTAAATGTTGAATGACAATTTTAGTCACTACGTTCATTGTTATTTTGTAACTAGAATAAAAGAATCTTAAGACATTTTACCAAACAACATATTCAGGCATTTAGAATCTTATTTCTTAAAAAAAACAAAAATTAAGGTGGCCATTTTTTAAAATGCATGTGCTCAGTCGCATCTGGCTCTTTTCGACCTCATGGACTGTATCCTGCCAGGCTCCTCTGTCCATGGAATTTTTCAGGCAAGAATGCTGGAGTGGGTTGCCATTTCCTACTCCAGGAGATGTTCCAGACCCAGGGATTGAACCCACGTCTCTTGTGGCCCCTGCTTGGGCAGGTGGATTCTTTACCACTCATGCTGCCTTGGGAAGCCCGCATGTGAAACATGTTCCAGCCACTGGAGAGAGGCTGTTGTCGATGCGGTTTCATACCATTATGTTGAAAAGTCTGGTTAAGCTTCTGCCAGGTAGGTTTAGGGTGGGCCTTTCTAGAAGAAAACCTAGGAGAGTCCTGTGGATTTTGTAGTATAGCTGCTGACTCAGTGAGCTCAGCCTTAACGCATGATTTTGCCTTGGCCCAGGAGAGCCCAGCCAGAGAATGATCCAGCCAGCTAAGCAGCCAGGGTACACCCAGGAGGCAGGTACCGCTGGTGTCGTCCTGACGGGAAACGAAAGAGGCCGTTGCTTCACTCCTCTAGAGCTTTCGATTAATTTTCATCAGTGTGTGAAAGGAATAGAATAGCACCTGTTCTTTTCATTTCATCCTCCCCAGAATTAACAAAGTGTGTGCCTAAATAGGTTTCTAGACAGGTGAGAGGGCATGTTGCATACCATCTGCCACGTGTCCTGTTTATACCTGTGGGAAGAACAAGGAGAATCAGTGTCCTGGACCGCTTTGCATTCCTAAGACCTTTTACTCTGTGGAAATGGTCACTGTGTGTCTTTTTAAAAGTCAATTATAAATAACAATACATTTATTTTAAAATAAATTTATTTGACATTTTTTCTTTAATATTGGAGTGGACTTTGTGTCCAAAATCCAAGCAAACAAAAGTTTCAGCGTTAAGAGATCATTGGCATGACTCTGTCCCCAGGTCAGCTCAGATTGGACCCTTCACATTTATTCTGTGTGTCGATGATTTTTTTCAGAAATAAAGATTCAATTTTGACGAGATCTCCCTCTCTTTTATTTTCATTTCAAATAAAGAATTTAGCCCCTCCCCAACATTAATTGTCCTTCAACTACTTGAGTAGCTCAGTTTCACTCTGCTTGTTAACTCCGATGGAATTGCTCTTAGGGGTGCAAAGATGACACGCTCTAAGGACCAGGCAATGTACACAGTAAGCTATTAAAAATGAGAAGTAACATACATCTGGCTAAAGCTTTTACACAAAGCTATTGTTATCTCATAGCTGCTCATTCCAGCTAATGTGGTGACTTACTGATCAAAGCAAATTTCCAGTACCTCTCTTTAACTCAACAGAGGAATTGTTTTCTTCTCTTTGCATTGTATAGGTTTTTAAAAATTTCCTGAATTTTTATTTTGATCAGAAAATCCTACCCAACACTTTATTATGAAAAATTTCATACATATAGCAAAGTTGAAAGAATTTTATAGATAACACCCATATCCTGACACCAGGATTCTGCCATTAACAGTTTACTGTACTTGATTCATTTTATGTATACAGCCGTCTTTCCAACCTTCTATCCTCAGTTCTTCTTCGCATTTAAAAACAAATAGCACATTCTGGTTCTGAACAAGGTGGAGTAAATGCATTTTCTTTGTACTCTTTCCCACTGATCACAGCAAAAATTCCTAGACAAAATACTGAGTCACCTACCAGAAGATTCTTAAAAGTGGAGAAAAGATGTCAGACTGACCACGGATCTTGGGATATGAGGAGGCACACCACACTGAGTTCCTTGGGAGGAGCAGAGGCAGGGTTCTTGCTTCCTATATATATATCCTGGCCTGGGTGTCCTGCAAGCTAGAAACACTAATGAGCACAGACTAGAAGAACATCTCCAAGAGAAAACCTGCTCTCTAGCCAAAGGACTTGGAAAAGGGCAGTTCAGCTGAAGAGAAACCCTTTAATCATTTCTGCCTATTCTGGATGAATGGGCACGGTGTTTATAATAGTGACTGTAAAATTCTGGTCTGATAATCCCTAATACTGTGCCAAAAAAAACTGCATCCCTTCCCATCCTGAACTGACACCACAGTAGTGGAGCCAGTGAGGGAAAACCTGTTTTACACCCTCACCTATAGTAATGGGGTGTCATTTTCCTCCATGGAGTCTTTAGGTAAAAGTTTGTACCTTCCCCTCACAGTAACTAAGTGACGCCTACCTCCTATGGAGCCTGAAGATGGGACTCCGATTTCTCCCTCTCCTCTGCAACAAGAGGAAGGGACTAGCAAACCGTCCCCTGCGGGGTTCTCTGGTGGTTCAAATGAAGAGTACGTCTGCAGTGCAGAAGACCTGGGTTCGATCCCTGGGTCAGAAAGATCCCCTGGAGAAGGGAATGGCAACCTCCTCCAGTATTCTTGCCTAGAGAATTCCATGGGCAGAGAAGCCTGGCAGGCTATAGTCCAGAGGGTCTCAACTGAGCGACTAACACTTTCACTTTCATATCACCCCTCCCCTTGGGCACTGTAGATGGGGCTTTAATGCCTCCCTCCCGCCCTGCATTAACTAGGCAATGCCCCTCCCCAGCTGACTCAGCGGGTGGAGTCATACCTTCCTCCTTTACTTGGTAGTGTTGAGTTGGTTCCCCTCCTCCTCCGGAGCTAGCACCAATGGAGACCATAGACTGGAGCTCTGTCATCTGAAGAAGGCGACCAGAATGGCACCGCAGAAGTTTTATAAACTCAGATGACGTGTGAACCATAAGCCATAAAAGTGATCTAGGAAATGTGTTCTGAACCTAAATAGGTTGACAGCCTTCTAGAATAGAGGATATAATTAGTAACCGGAGCTTATAATGGCTAGGATATAGTCCACAGTTACTCATTATACCAAGAACCAATGAAATCTCAATTCTAATGAGAAAGAAAATCAGGAGATGGCCACACCAGGAAGACACAGTACTAGGGATTATCAGACCAGAACTTTAAAGTCTCAGTAAGCAGTAACAAATGCTGGAAACAAATGAGAAATATTTTAAAATCTCAGGAAGGAAATATTAATAAAAGACACAAAGAAGGATCAAATGAAATTTTAAAGCTGAAAAATACAATGACAGACATGAAAAATTCACTGGACTGGCTCAATGGCAAATGGGAAATGACAGAGGAAAGAATCAGTTAATTTGAAGACACATCAATAGACCCTCAGTCTGAATGACCAAGAAAAAAGATTGAAAAATAATTGAATTGAATCTCAGAGATCTGTGGGACAATAAAGAAAGCTCTGACATACATGTCACTTGTCCCGCAAGGGGAGGAAAAGGAATTTCTAAAATTTGGTTGAAAAAGTATAAACCCAGAGATTTAAGAAACTGAATGAACCCAAGTGAGATAAACCTAAGAAATCCATGCCTAGACTCACCAAAATCAAACTTCCAAAAACTTAGGACAAAGAACAAATCTTGAAATCAAAGAGAAATGACATTAGACATGGGAAACAATAATTCAGATGAACATGGTTAGAAGTAAGATTTTTCTTTTATATCCACTGAAATTATTAAGTGAATTTCTTCCATTGTTCTGGTGTGATGGCTGATTACTTTGGTTAATTTTACAATGTTGAATCTTGCATTACAATACTAAACCTTGCAATCCTGAGATAAACTCCCACATGATCATTTTGTATTATCTGAGTTCAATTCATTAATATTTTGTTGAAGATTTTTATGTCTGTGTTCAGAGAGAGATGTGAAGTGAAAGCGTTAGTCTCTCAGTCATGTCCAACTCTTTGTGACCCCGTGGACTGTAGCCCACCGGGTTCCTCTGCCCATGGGATTCTCTAGGCAAGAATATTGGAGTGGGCAGCCATTCCTTTCTCCAGGGGATCTTCCTGACCCAAGGATTGAACCTAGATCTCCTGCATTGCAAGCAGATTCTTTACTATCTGAGCCACCAGGGAAGCCCCCTTCAGAGAGGGAGATTTATTTGTTAATTTATATTTTTATAATGTCATTGTCAGGCTTTGGTATTAGGATGGTGCTGGCCTCAGATAACAACCTGAGAAGTTGTTTCCTCCTCATCTATTTTCTGGAAGAGTTTTTGTAAGATTGGTGTTATTTCTTCCTTAAATATTTGGTAGAACTTATAAGCAAAAGCATCTGTCGTAGAGTTTCTTTATGTGAAGGTTTTTGATAGCCAATTTAATTTTTTTGATATAGACCTATTCAAATTTTTTCATCTTACATTGATTTGAAATGTTAAAACTGGTTTTAATTTTGAAGGAATTTGTCATTTTCACCTAAGTTGCTTTA